GACTCGAACCGCTGTTGCTCAGAGCTCAAACTCTTGAGCGAGCTCTTAACCAACTGAGCCACTCGGCCGGCCCAGCACAGAGATTTTTTACCTAGGAGAATATTTTATGGATTAATAAACTTGTGTAATGCTATGTTTTTGAATAGAAAGCAAAAGCAGAAAAACAGATCTTACAGTAGTTGATGCTTCACAGTTTGGTTTTCCTCACACACTTAAATTGTGAAATATTCAAACCTGACCCTTCTCTGTCCTCTTACTTTTGCTTCTCCTTCATCCCAAACTATAAACCATCTATAACTTGAAAATGTTGCTTGCTGGCTCATTAAAGTTGGTTGGTGATTGTTCTTGACAATCTATGGACCTTTTATGTGGGGTGGAGCTTTTGAACAAGCCATTTGCTTGGCAGGAGAACTTATGGAAACTTATAGCAGATTTCATGGAGATTCTGAATGATCTTTATTTAATTCACAGACCGTGTCCATGGAAAAAATACTTCTAGTTATTTTTATTAAATAGAGTAAAATTTTTTATTGTTAGACTAAGATTGGGATTACATGACTTCAGTCAATCAGCTTGACATACCTCATATCTCATTGTTAGAAAACAGTTTTTCCTTTCTTGTGACACTGGCAAATCACAAATTAAACTCATTATATTTTATTGTACCATGACTCTTTTTGCATGATTTAATCAGTTGTCAAAAGGACCAGTTTCTTTTCAGTCTATAATACACTTTGGGTGACTGAACAGTTTTGGACTGTATAGTTTGTATGATGTGGATACCTTAATATGAAAGTCCAAGAAATTGGTTGTGGATTGGAAGTGATTTTCAAACTATCTGCAATGCTTTGTTAATGGTATAAAACCAGAGAAACAAAGTATACCAAAATGATCCAACCTCAACTTTAATTTGAGAGGCAGATTTAAGAATGGTAGAATTAAGGCAATGGCATGTTAATTTGAAAAAAATTCAAACATAAGCATAAGTAAACAGTATAATAACCCCCTGTGAGCCATCATCCAACTTCAGCAGTTTTCAACTCATGGCCAACCTTGTTCATCTATAATTTTACCCACTCCCCCCTTCTCCTGTATTATTTTGAAGCAAAAGATTATGTATAATTTCATCTGTGAATATTTCAGTATATATCTCTAAAAGATAAGGGCTCTGAAAGGAAATAACTATAGTATTGTTATCACATCTCATCTGTGATGTATTAAGGTTCCTTGGTTTGACAGCAAATGGAGGGAATACTCATTGCTTCTTTGAAAATAATTTAAAACTATTTGGAACCATTAGTGCAACTCCTTGGAAGTGCCCCTAAGTGAGGAAAACAATGTTTAAAATATTGTAAGAGTAAGGAGAGTGAATTAGAAGGATAGATTTTAAAAAATTTGACTGAATTGTATTGATGAGAAACATCAATGATGCTATAATGGTAAATTAAGAAGGGAGATCATTGTTGCTTAGAAGTGTATCTTGTCTACCTGGTGCCACCTCCTCTTCGTTATGTCCCCCAATTCCAGTTTGAAAGCTGAATGGCTCTATAGTCAAGGCAAGGGGAGAACATACCGGCCTGGCCAGCACATCCAGCTTGTCCAGTATCTGGCCACAGTCTGTCCTCTCACTTCTACACTGGGTCTTCAAACTGCAGAGGATGCCAAGCTGGAGAAGATTCTGAGCAAGCAGAGGTAAGCCCATTTATTATACTTGTAGCAGCTGATGAATTCACAGTGGAAACACCTGAGTCTTGCCTGCATGATTAGTAGGACTGAGGCAAGTGCTGCAGCCCACATTTCTGCGCACTTGGGCCCCTCGTCACTGCGGCAGGCCTGCAGGGGAACTTAACCTGCAGTACAGCCCCGTTTGCTCCATAGCAGCTGCAATCGCTAATCATTTCTTGAATGGGGAGAGCCAAGCAGTATGGGAGAATGGGATTTAAAAAATATATATATTTGTCCTTCTAATGGAGGTGTTTGTTTGGGGTTTTTAAACACTAACATTACGAAGTATAGCTAAATGAAAAAAAAAAGTATAGCTGGAAGCATTTAGTAGTTACTTCTTTTTATCAGAGATCCTGCCTTTGAATGTTTGTGCAAGTGTATACATATGAGGTGTCTTTCTATGTGATTTACAAAGAAGTTTCTTAACCTTTTCTCTCTAGTGCATTCAAATAAGACTGTTATTTGGTGGTGATTAAAAGTGTCTACTTAGAAAACTTGTGTACTTCTACCTTTCTGACAGTGTAACCTAGGAAGCAGAAAAGCTTTCTATTTTTTGTTTTGTGTTAAATCACATCAGATGTTACTGATTTTAGGTTTCACCAGAGGCAGTTGATGAACCAAAGCCAAAATGAAGAGTTGCCTTCTCTTCCTCCTCCTGAAGCAAGGGCACCCCTGGTACCTGAGCATTCCAGCCCTGCGCAAGGTTGCCAAATAGTCCAGGAAAGCAGTAAGAAATGAATTGATTTCTGACCCTTTTTCTCCATGTTGTTTCATCTTTTGGGTATCATAAAACAGAAAAAGTGCATATTTTTATAATTTTTTATTAGTTTGTTAACTTACATAATCATTTGGATCTTATATATGTATATATACACACGTGTGTATATGTATATATACACACATACGTGTATATGTATATACACACATACATACATATATGTATGTATGTGTGTATATATTATAACTATCATATTTCTAATTTTTGAAAATTTGGAGGACTGCTACTTTCTGTATTGATCTGATAATTATTCTTATGATTATTGGAAGAACTTACTTTTTAAAAAATAAGTTGGTTTGATGTTTTAGGCATACTGGAGGAGTCACTGAAGGCATTTTATTGTATTTTACT